GTGAACCTCTTCACGTACCATGACCTTTGCTGCCCCCCTGTCGGTTTTCCCATCCTTTGCAGTCCCCTTTCCTTTTACGTGTCCCTGATCCTCCGCTTCTGCACTAATTCTTGGGGGAACTGTGAAAAGGCCTTCCTCCCCAGTCTAGGAAAACGAAATCTCCCCACCCCTCTCTCGTGTTTACTTCTGTTCCCTTGTCAAAAAATCCAGGAGGTTTGGATACAAGATTTGCCTTCCATAACCCTGGGGTTTTCTTTAAAATCTTGCCCCTTTCCAGGTTTTCGACCACTCTCCTCCGATAATCTTCCCCTGATTTGCACACAATACTGTCAGAGAACGGGTCGTAGTTTAGGCCCTTTTTCTGTTTCCTTCTTAAATATGGGGACTACATTAGCTGTCTTCCATTTCTGGGTATTGCCCAGTTTCAAGGGATGTGTTAAATTGTGGTTAGAGGCACACACAGCATCTCGCCTTCTCAAAGGCCCCCTGGGGGAGTTGTCCGGCCCCATGCCTTTGGGTTCAAGGTCATTTAAAGGGCTTTTCACCTCCCCCTCAGTTGTTCGTATGTATCCAACACTTGTTGGTATATTCCCTCTTGATGTTCCCTTCTGTGTGTCTTCCACACCCCTTTCCCTGTCTCTACTGAAAAAATTCCTTAAACTCCTGTTCAGCTCCTCACAACCTCCGATCATTTTTGGATTTCTCCCCCTTCTGTCCAAATCATCACTTGGTCTCGCTGTTGTTTTCCCTCCTGATGTGGTACCTGGATTTACCGGAGAAGTTTCGGGGTCAACCCCCGCGGCCGGTTGTGACCGGGCCTAAACTTTCGGGTCTTCTTGTTTCGATGCTATGTCTTTTATCTGCCTGGGCCTCCCTCCTTACTTGGGGTTTTACTCTTTCCTGGCTCTGGGGGGACTGATTCCCTTTTTCGTTGTTTCTCTGCCTTCTGTACTTTTTTCCATTCTCTATTGATTTTTTTTTTTGCTCCTTACACCGTGGGTTAAAACCAGGGCTTGTTCTGGTTTTCCGTTGTTACGTTGCCCTTGGGAAAAACCCTTTTCCCACTGCCTCCTTGCTTTTGTTGCTACATATTCCATCATTTCATTTACGGGTTTCCTCCAGTTCTCTGCCCCACTGGACCCCCGCGGGAAGTTCTTCAACCCTATGTAGTCCCCTCTTTATAGCAGGTTTTTCCCATTCTACTCCTTTTATCTCTCCACTTGCAGCTCTACATGTATTCAAGCACAAAACCACGTGGTCGCT